AAGGACACCCCACATTCCTGGGGTGCATGCATGCAGCTGCCCACCCCACCAGCAAAGCCACGTGGAAGCTGTAAGACCCCACCAGAAGCCCCCCAGACAGCTAAATCCCAGGCAGCGCTGACTTACCGGGGGCGTTTGCCAGCATCCTCACAGCCCTGGGGGTTTTGGGGGGCTCTGGGCGGCAGCTGGTGGTGTGGGAGCCCATGGTGGGGCTGAGGGCTCAGCACTGGGGGGCTCAGCCCCCCGAGCAGGGCAGGGGCAGCGTGGACGCGCTCCCCAGCATCACCCCGCTCCCCAGCATCGCTGCCGTTGCCACAGAAACTGGGGGATGACTCAGGAGCTGTGCTGCTGACATCAGAGGCGACGAGGAGGGGGCTGGGGAGGGGGGGGAGATGTTCCTCTCTCGGTTTTGCTCAATAAAGCCGGAACGCTTTGTCCAGCGAAGACATTCAGCCCCCCTGCGGGGTATCCTGGGGAAAAAGCTGGTCCCTCGGGGTGCGGGGTTTGGTGATTTCCAGGAGATCGGTGTCATGGGGGGAGGCCCGGAGCCCCCCATGTGTGGGCTTTGCTCTGCTGAATGCTGCCCGGCCCCAAAGCCCCTGGGCATCAGAAAATAATCCATCTAGAAGTGGTTTCGTCTGGTGTCAGAGCGCAGGGCAGGTATTTGGGAGCCAGGGGCAGGGGGATGGGGCTCCAAATGACGCCCCAACCCAGCCGTGGTGAATGATGCTGAGCACTGCCCTGGGGGGCAAAGCCCAGCAAGTGGAGCAGGACATCATCCGTGCCACCCGACCCCACCACAGCCCAGCCTGCAAGAGGCAGTTTCAGCCTCTTTTTTGTATATTTTTTGCCTATTTTCTTGCGGTGGCTTAAATAACCACAGAGCAAAATGACTTAAAGCCGGGGGCTCAGGGCCACCCCCCTGCTGCACCCCGAGCACCGTGTCACCCCGCAGTGGCCGTGCCCGGGACAAGGACACAGAGGAGGCAGCAGAGCGTGATCAGCTGCTCCCTGATGTTTCATAGGACAGAGCTATTTTTGAAAAGCAGTAAATTAAAGCACTTTTCCACTTTGTGCTTGAGCGTGGTGCTGAGACGTCCCGGTTGGGTACCAAACCTGTGTGCTGAGCGCTGGCCAGCCAGGTTACAAACTAATTAAACTTCACCAGGAACTGGGAAATTAGTTAAAATCAGGGAGAGATATTACCTGTGCACAGACACAGGGGAGTTTAGGCATCACCCCAGGCAAACGCTCTACATCTGGACAGAAACGTGAGCGTTTTGGTAGTGCCGTGCAGGGATTTGTTACGCAACGAAGCGCCGCCGCTTCCTTATCTCCCACTTACAGGCGTTGGTAGATCGAGCCCACGATGACACACTGAAATATTTTTAGCGAGATGAGAGTCCCACAAGAGATTCCCTGGTCAGTGAGAGTAGCGACCGATCCCAGAAATGCCACAGCCCCATGAAACTCCCCGGTCACTGCGCAAGCAGCCCTGGGGCCAACGCTGAGCCCCCAGCCGCCTCCTGGGGGGCTCCACGTGGCCCTGGCACAAGCCCAGGATCAGGGAACCGAACGCTCAGGGCTTTTATTTTTAGCACAGCAAGCTATAAATAGAGCCCGTGGTAACCTACAGAGAGGCGATGGACTTGGGATCAGGAAGTGACGGCACCGGGGAACCCCGGAGCTGCGGGATGGGGAGCGCCCTGTCCAGCTGGGCTGGAAGGAAACCACCACGCACAAACAGCCCCAAACCACGCAGGGGCTTGGTCCTGCTGCAAACAGGGCAAGCGGGCACCTCTGTGCTGAGCATGGACGTGGTGGGATCGTGCAGAGCACAGATTTCATAGGGTTTTGTGCTTTTTTCCCCTCTCTTTGGAGGGTGTCTGCGTGTGGGAGCGGGGAGGAAGCCGAGCGCTGCCGTGCGCCAAGGTAAATGCGGCGAGCAGCCCGTGATTCATCGCCTGCAGCCTGGCAACAAGCTTGGATATAGGGGAAAACACAGATGGAAGGGGCCTGCTGTGACAGCCAGCAGCTTGGAAACTGGTGGCCTGCTAAGGATAAGGTAGAAGGGCCCAAACTATTTTCCTTTTCCTGCACATCACACCGAGGGGCTGTGCGGGGCCGGCAGCCTGCACCGCCTGGCTCGCAGCCAGCCTGGCTGCTGCCCCTCTGCCAGGACCATGCAGAAGGGAGCAAAAATCAGACCCTTGATGCTAAGAAATCCAGGGAGAGGTCCAAGGAGATGTCCCAAATGCTCACGGCCTTCATGCAAGGTGGACAGAGGGAGGAGGCTGCACGCTGGCACATCACAGCCAGCAGCTACAGCACGGCACCGCGGGCTGCGCTCTTCCAAGGGCTGCTGTGTGCCACAGCAACGAGCAGGAGCTGAATAATTCAACCAAACCCTGGGCGTGTGGGAGCTGCCGTGGGCACGAGACCACTGGGCCTGCATTCCCTGCAGAGCAGCCCTTCGGCAGAGGGCACACGGAGGCTGGCTTTAACATGAGTGTGGTTTATGCCAGGCTACAGCTCATAAAAGCCACGTAACCGCACCATGCATAAGTGCCACAAGTCTTCCATGAATAATTTCTTCAGGATGCTCTGCTCACAGCTGTGCAGCACCATCAGGACTGGGAAACGATCAAACAGCCAAGCAGAAGGTTCGAAGCCTGCAGCAGGTACAGAGCCCTCGCCTTGAACCAGCTCGACCAGCTCCCACGTGCTGCGTCCCAACGTGCTCCTTGTGCAACCACCGGTGGCATCAGCAGCCCGGCTGCATTTCACAAACCCTGTTGGAGAGCGCAGCTCTTCCCCGTGACAGCCCCAGGAAGCGGCAGTACAGAGCCCGGGGTGCAGGATCCATGCAGGACCCCAGCCAGAGTCACTGAGCCCAGGTCTGGCGCCTGGGCACCGCTCCCCAGCTGCACGTCTAAGTTTACACCCTGGGCGTGAGGGTGCTGTGGCCACCTCTCCAGGTTTATTTTGGTGCAGGACAGCTCGAGTTACTGGCGTCCCTCCCCCACCTCCACAAGTGACAGATTCCCGATGACACGGGACACCCAGGGCTGGCACTGCACTCTCAGGTCACCCCCAGCAGCCTTACACCAACGCTGCTGTCGTGCACACACACACGCCAGAGCCCTGCCCGTTTCAAGCCATTTTCCAGGACCACGCTGCAGAAGCAGTGTTCAGCTCACAAGTGCAAGGCTTGCATTTCAAGTTCAGGTTTTGAGTAATGAGAAGAGGAAAAAAAGAATTAGCTCCATTAATTCTGCCCCAAACCTACCGCCATGTAGCAAGACATCCTCAGCAGCTTCCACAGCTGCAGCTTCTTTTGGGAGACTCCCCCTTTCCAGGAAGATCACTACGAAATATCAGGATCAAGCACAGAACAAGTTACCAGATTGCTGCACCTTGTACAGAGGGGGCTGCAGCCCTGATCTGACCGCGTTGGGCTGCCAGAGCTCACACGGGCAGCAGCTGCTGCTTCCTTCTGTTCCTGCTGGAAGCCAGAGCAGGCAGGTACGTTGGAGGAGCCAGCTAGGTAGTTTTATGCCGTTCTGCTCCTTCCTGCAGACTTTCAGTTCATGGGAGAATAGCGTGTGCATGGAAGGGAAAGCCAGGACACTGAACAGCTTGCTTTGCTGGGAGAAGCTACGGTAACCAACCCCTGAGGAAACTGGAACAACTCTTGCCACACTGATTCTGCTGGTGCTGGCAAGGTGAGACATTACTAACGAGTTGGATCTCCACAGCCAAGTGCAGCCTGTACTCACCTTCCCTTTGCAGTGCAGGCTGAGGCTTTGATGGGAGCTGGAGGTAACGCTCGGGCCACGGCAGCAGGAGCGTTCCCTTTATCACTGCTCAGGAATGCAGGTGTCACCTCTCCGTGCTGAAGGCACGCAGCTCATCTCCTGCAAACACCGTGCCAATTACAGCCCATCTTGTCGCTGAGATAGCAGGCACTTTTTAATTTTGCAAGGTGTGGATTTCTGCCTAGACCTGCTGCACCAGTTTCGGTACACAAGTACCATTATCTAATGATATACCACAGGCTGCTCGCAGAGGTTTATTTGCTTTTGTTTTAATTTAAATCACTGCAGAGAGGGACCCTGAAGTGTCCTGGAGCCTGCTGCTAATTTGTGCACTGAAGGCAATTTAAGTCAGTGGCCACCTGGCACCAACAGAATACCTGCATTTAATAACACTGCACTCAAAGCCTGCACCGAATAGCAAGGGCTTGGATGCCTCATGCTCTAATCCTCCATCTTTCACAGGATATAATGAAAAGATATAATGAAAATTATTCTGAGCTCCTCACAAGTGGCTGGAACATGCGCTAAACAAACAGGCTGCTGGCAGGTGCTCTCCCTTGCCCTGAACATTGTGTAAAAATGCTAATAACCCCACCTTAGTCTTTAGAGAAAAAACCTCACGCATTTACACTCTTAATCAGTTGCCTCCAAGGCAACCACAAACACGTGGGCAAAGCTCAGAGGAGCTTCAGAGTTCATTGCCAGAGAGCAGCAGCAGCACTGGTGCCACATAAGCGAGAACAGCGTTTTGGTACAGTCGTGTGCAAGTTGCCGCATCCCAGCAGTGCCGGCTGCTGTTTGCTCAAACGATTCTCCTTAATGAGAGCTCCCTTATTGAGAAAGCAAATTCCAATTCATCAGCCAATGCGTTCGAGACAAATCCTTCTTAAATAGCATCAGTCCACCACAGGGGATCACTAAAATCTCGTTTCACATTGCCCTTGTGATGAATCCTAGCAATGCAACTTTGTTCTGGGAAATAGAGAAATAGTTTCCAGGTGCAAAACCAGTTATTGAACCAGGATTTGCTCCTCAAGTTCCGTTATAGCTGATAAATAACCCTACAAAATACCTTATTTCTTGAGAAACAACTCCAGCAGTCTCCAGGTGCAAGGAACCCAACTCCAAATTGTTCATAAACCTCCGCTACTTCTGAAAATAACATTTCGGAACACCTTGTAATAAATCAAAAAAACTTTATTTTTAAGATATATTATAAATTTACAGCATACAACATCAGTGTCTTTAGTGTGTATGTGTGAGCAGGCTTAAGGACTCAGCATTCATTCTAGTCTCGCTTGTGGGTGTGCTTTCTCCACATGCTAAAGGTACGTAACAGTTCCAATCTGAATGGGTCTGGCTTTGCTAACGACCTCAATAACTTCTAGGGGCATGTTTCAGTAGACAACAGTGACTGTTTAGAAGGATAACAAATCGGTAGCACTTCTTACTTGCTGCCTGGAGGGCTCCTGTATCAAAGCAAAGCCTGCTGGTCTCCCCAGCCAGGGAGAAGTCATCGACCCACGCGAACGTGTCCAGAATGAATGCTGAATTCACAGGCTCAGTGATGTCCGCCCTAGTTAAGCTTCATAAAAGTAACATTACATCTTAGAAACAGCTGTGCATGCCACACATCAGTGTCAGCTCCATATAAAAATTATCGTATGCTGTACCTAATTGTTTTATACACAGGTGAAATGAAAAACGTTACGTCAGTACCTTGCAATATAATTTTACCGGTGCTACCTTGTGGTAAGTGCTGGATAGCAAATCATTCTTGTACAGTTCATTAACTATGATAAAAATATGCAAATTAAAAATCTCTACAGGCCCCTGTTACCTGCTGTAACAAAGACACTGTTTTGTGGGGCTTTGTTTAAAACATGATCCGATTTCTTCCCTCTCCCCAGAGCATGATACAAAACTATATCCAAATTCAGAAAGAATTTAATACATTTATTGAAGTTCACATGCTGCAAACAGGATCTGCATTGAAGATCTTTAAATCTAGGGCAAGAGGTCCTTAAAAAAATTTTGCAGTTATACCCAGATGTTTGGATGAAGATGAGCACAACCACCACGACAACACATTCATGGAGACATAAAGTACACTGCTTGCTTTTTCCTCTGCAGGAACATTGGGGTTGCAACCCATGCTTGGCTCACCAACTGGCCTAACTCTGACGAGGGCCAAGACAAATGCTTCAGAAAAATAACCGGCCCCAGAGAGGACAGTCAGTGGCTTGCTTATGCCTCAAAGCATAACAAGTTACAATTGAATGGAAATACCCAGCTGCAAGTGCTGCTCTTCTGCCAGTTAATAAAAATGCTACTTATTACAAGTAGAAAAATGAGCTATTACCTTGGATGAAACACTCACTATCCTGCGCACAATACTTTAGGAAAATTACTGCTGAAGTTGAGATCCCTGGGAACCTCTCCTCTCTCTTCTACAGGCAACATTTGCTGACAGTGTCACAATACATTCATTTGGTGCAATGCTTATTTAAACGACTTTCAAAATACATTAAAGATCCTCAGCCCGTGAATCATTACGTGGAAAAAAAACAGTCCCAACTAAAAAGGATTTCAATAACCACTTAAGCATTTCTTGGATATGAAGATCAATCTCCAAAAGACAAGCTTGGTTCCAGGACAGCGAGGAACGAAATGGGGGTCAAGGTTCTGGGACACATCTGTGACAACGGCTGCGAGCAGCCGAGCAGCAGCAATTAGCTGCAGGTTTCAGAGTTCTTGCAGGAACAAACCTCACACTTCCCCAGAAGAGCAGAAGTGCACTGACTGCTTTTGAAACAGTGCAAGTTAATTTTCCAGCTGCATGGAGAACAGAAGCGTCCTTGAAACGGTGTAAAGATCAGCGAACTGTGAAGGGGCTGGGTAATCTTGTGTGACCACCTCCATGTGATGATGCAGCAACCTTAAAGGAAGACTCGTGCCACTGCTCGCGTGGAGAGAAAAGAATGGCAGATTCTTTGGACTGTACCTAACACAAGAGGTTTATCAGGAGCGTTACGCTAGCTTGGTCTCACAGGTCAAGACCAACCAAGGTCCAAGCTGCAAAGTGGCCACTGGCATTTTTTCCAAATACATCCTTTTAAATGCATCCCCCTACAGAGTATAAACATGAAGCCCTGAGAACAAACTTCCATATAGTACATTTCTATTAAAAATATCAGTGTTTTGATGACAAAATTATAAATTACATACATTTAAATAAATAGCTAGCTTTCAAGAGTCATGTAATATCAAAAGGCAGAAGATTGTCTTTATTAATGTATGGGGCAAAGAGCTAAAACTATAAGAAACAGACACTGCACTGTAAGAGCCTCCTGGCACCCCACTTCCATGATTCCTTACTTCTCCTTGATTTCACAGGCTTCCAAATATTCCCTTGACCATGTTGTAAGACACTTAAGCACGACATGTCTTTGCTAGTTTTAACTTGAACACCAGAAAGACAAGCACAGGACCTGAACCTGTAAATCCTTATTCCTCACAAAATGAGTTTTAATATTTATTTTTAACAAAAACTTGATTTCCAAATTGCTTAGGGACCTCTCACTGGTTTGCAGACCAGATCCACCAGTCCTCTAGCCTTCAGCCTCAGAACAGGACAGTTTGCACCCCTGGCAGCACTCCTGTGACATACACTGTGCCTGGAGACCTGCCTGTGCACACTGACTAAATAGCAGTGACCCTTCAGTATTTTGCAGGTTTTGTAAAAATTGCTACAGTCGATACTTTTGCAAGCACAATGCACTTAGCTTCCCTCAACCCACCTTTAACTGATGAAGCAGCATGAATACACCCACGTGTTGCAAGGACACACAGCTCCCTAAGCCCACTACCAATTCATACCCATAGCACAACACTGATGCCTTGATCAATTCCTCAGAGGGTTTGTTTAACCTAAAGGGTAGTTTTTTCTAGATCAACTCTTATGCCTTGCTGTGAACACACCACACCTCGTAAGTTTTGGCCTCTTTCAGAGACTGCCCGGTGGGAGCTAAAGTTCTCACGAGACAAGCAGCCATACCAAGCAACAAGCTGGTTTGGCAGATTAGAAGAACACACTCACCAACACTTCAGCTGGGTAATTGCCAAGCTCTGAAATGAGAAAAGCCAGGAACAACCACATTCTCAAGCCTTCGAGCATTTTAAAGATGCAGTATTCCTTTATCTGTACAGTTTCTAACTGTTGCTACAACATTAGGTCATGTTGAAGCTGGGTATCCTTACTTTTGTCTCTTACGTGTGTGCGCCTCATTTTACTCATGCTTTTTTCCTTATACGATGGTCAGTGGCACTGATCCTGTTCTGACATACCAAGGGAGGCAGCTCTGATGGCCTTTATCACCTCTACCAAACTGAGGGTGAAAGAACCCGCTCAGCAGCAGCTCCTGGCAGCACCACTCTGCAGAAATGCACAAGCAGAGAACTCCCACCCTTAGAAGTGGCCACTCTGCTCCTCTGAAGGAGGTCAGACAGCAAATCAGGAACATGTTCAGTTTCATCCACCTAAAAATTAGACAGCTGGTTCAAATTCATCCTCCACATTGCCACGTCAGAGCCAACAGACAGTCCCAGGGGCAGCTCCTCCCGTGCCAGTGCAGGCAATGTGGGTTGTGTGCTCCTGCCACGTGGCCACTCACCCAGGCTTTGCTAGCAAACCAGAGGCCAAGGGTTTGGAAGGACTTAAAGCTGACAGGTGATTCTCACCTGGTCTGTCTGGAAGCTCTGCAGCCACTCTAGAGTCTGATCACGTATTACTGAAACCAAAAGCAGCATAGAAATGGTCTTTTAACAAGCCTTTACGCTCTTCCAAGAGCGAGAGACAGCTTCCCAAGTATCTATTCAGTAATTCTGAACCTCTACTTACTCATTCAGAAGCCAAAACCCACCCAAACTACAGGATAGTCTTTTCCCAGCTTTGTCTTTTAAAAATCTCATCTTTCATAATGCTACAACCTTCAGTCACAACTAGCCACAAGTATTTGTGCTGAACTTACTGGGTTGCAGAATCCGGTTCCTTGCTTTTAGTACTGCAAGACAAAGTTACAACTTAACATCATGCTGTCAAATCTGTTCTTAGAAGAATCCAGAAAAACATTTTTACTGTCCAATTTGAACAAACATCTCTAAATCTTAGAATTTCTAAATGTAAAAGTATTTCAGCTGTCATGAACTGTAAAGCTTAATATGAATTTACAGATAACAAATTAAAAAATCCTGGGATAGTAAGTTGAGATAAAATCTCATGCTGTTTTGGTTTCCCCACCCTTCATACTAATTATGTGAAATTGGCAACTTCAGTGCCTTGACTGCATAATAGCACAGATTAGATGCCAAGTTCAGGCCAAAACTTGTTATAAAGGTTTCGAGTTGCATCTTGTTACATTTTTGTTTAAAAAAAAAAAATAACTGCACAAAAACAGCTGTAAAATAAAGGGTGACTAGCAGAGTTATTTAGGATCTCTCTATTTGACAGACACCTCTGTGCTATTTAAGGATAAGGTCTCCTTCTGATTAAACTGCACTTTGGAGAAGCAGGTCTCGCCTGTCCTGCCTTTCCAATGCAAGACACAGCAGGGATTATGACAGACATCAACCAGGTTTCACTAACTTGAAAACAAACATTTTTGTTCAGCCTGTATAAAAAAAAATAAACACCTGCATGGCCCAATCATGACGACTAGCTGGCAATTCACCGGTGAGTTCTTTCCTTAATAAGCCCACAACCACTGTCTGAAACCTTAAGTCAATCTTCTGACAAAACTAGGGAAGACACAGCCTGACTTTCTTGGTATTTCCAAGGTGAAAGGGTCAAGAAGAAACACTTCTATCTCAAAGTAGATAATTTTAAGCGTGCTTTTAAATACGGTAAACAAGATAAAAGCCTAAGTGTTTCTGCGTCTTTGCAGATCACCATTCACTGAAAAACCATGCAAATTAGTAGCTTTTTTTGCAAACCGTTTGAAACAAAGTCAAAGTCCCCCCTTCCAAAACCGTGCACACAGAAATGGAAAAAAATCAAGGTGAAGATATCCTCTTTGCACTACGATATGGCATAGTGTAAACTGATGAACTGCAGCCTACTTGAGAATCCAAGGGTCGGTGGAGTAAGTTCTGTTGCGAAAGAGATACTGCATCTTTAACGTAGCTGGCAGAGAACCTCCTGCAAGTGTAACTGCTGCGGGACTGGAACGACACTAACGCAGAAAATAAATAGGAAAAAGTAATGCTATTTATTAAAAGAATTCCATCTGTGAATTACTCTGTTTAAATTATAATGCAAGACAGACAAGTTTGGATAGAAATGTGCTTGCTCTCCCAATATTTGGACTTTTAAAAAACGTTTCCTAAGAATCAATTTTAAAAAGCATTTTATAATTTGATATAGCCATAAATTAATACTGCATGGAGATGATTAATATCCTATGCTAGTGGTCAGTGACCTTTTGTAAACATTAGCCAGACGCTAGTAAAACTGGCTAGAAAACTACTGTCACAGGCCTTTTTGACAAGCAATATCGTATTTCTTTCCAACAGATCCTTAATTGTTTTCACAAAACCTTTTCCTATTTTTGATATACTTTATTTTTAGCCTAATACCTGAAAAACATAAACAAGTCTTCAAACCTCTTCCACTAACACTAAATCCACAAGGCAATTAACTGCAGTTGGCCGTTAACTACATACCCCGTGCGAGACACCCCCTCGGCCAGAATCTGCTCCCTCCTGCCCCTTCCACCCCCCACCCCTCCCAACAACCCATGCACCCCCCCGTGAGGAGAAGGTGACACGAGGGACAGTAGGAAGTGGCACAGTGGACTGGCATCCCCCTCTACGTGCGATTCAGTGTCTGGAAGATTCGGGAGATCTGTAGCATGACAGGCCCCGTTTCGGGATCATTCATCCACTGAGTGCTGTTCAGGGGGTTTTCAAGCATATCCTCGAAGGCTGCCAAGAGATGGAAAGCGCAACGTGTTTAGGCTTGTGGTCAGCAGATGCTTCCACCTTTGGGATGCTTCAATGACAGGAAAGTTAAAAATAGCTACAACTTACCCTACGCAGCAGGCAAGCATTCCCCCCACGGTGAGAACACATCACACACTTACCATTTGTACTCCCAAATCTCCACAGAGCAGGATGCTACAGGCTGTTACACTTCCCTCATTCCTCAGCATTCAATTCATTGTGGGCAGAGGCTGATTAAATACTCAGCCTGGATTATAAACCATTTTACAAAGCCTCAAGGACACGGGCTTGAAGAGCTAAACACTTCACAAACATTTACTTTGGTTACTCTTATAACATCTCAGAAGGGGAAACTAAGCCAGCAAAATAAGAGGTAGGTAGGGAAAAGGCTGGCTAAGAATGAGCAGCAGAGCCAGCCCCCAGATCTCAGGGCTCTGTCTTTTCACGGAGGCCCCTGGAGCCAGAAGGGAAGCAGCATCTTCCCTCTGAACAGCGTGTGCTCTCCTTCCTGCCATCTGGAGGGCTGAGGACAACAGGGAGCATGGCAGGGGACAGGAGGAGCAGCCAGGTCTACCTGCCTAGACACAGGAGAAAGGCTGTCTATACAGAACAACTACCTCTATTTTGGAACAGTGACGAAGATCCAAATTCTTAAGAGCAATTTTTATTCTTTCTATATGTAGCTGTCTTTACACTAAGGTGTTTTTTTTTTGCATGCCAATTTTCACTCTTCTACTTACTTTGAAGGAACCAGGCATCTAATGCAAGAGCTAAGTTACAACTTTGGCAAGAGAACGATCCATGAAGTAATTTATAACCTTTATGACAGCCCCTGCACTGGACCACTGGACATTTGGAGCAGTGATTACGGAACAGGACTAAAAAAGCAGTTGCACATCTGATCTACTCAGGAGTCACCAAAAGGTCAGTGTTACAGGAGTCTGGCAGACCAGCACGAGGGGCAGCGTCTTCGCTTTCCCAGGAACGTACAAAGTGTTAGTCTACAAAGCTCTAACGACATTAGTGCGAGCCATAAGCACCAAGCACCTCTGAAAGGCTCATCATTAATACCTCGCTCAAGGTCACGCACCGTGCCTACTGCAAAGCCCAGAATAACGTACAGATCTCACCTTTCACTGCTCCAACTGTATTCTTTTACACAGACCCAGGAGCTGAAACCTAAAGATTTATCTACATTCTTTAAATATCTAATTAAATGCAAACATTGTTAAAATCTGTGACATAAGCAATCTGCAGATGTATCCTTCTCTGATGTTCATCCAAGCCTTACAAGCACATATAATGGCATTTCGTTTTCTATTTATATTCTGAGCTGCAGTGTGGAACCCTCTTTGGAAATGAAGAGACCATTTGCTCAGAAATGAGGGTGGGAAGGTTCTGCTCTTGAATTATTTAAAGACTTGCAAACTCTCCTAATTACATCTAAAGAAGTATTTTTAAAAGCTCTCCTGAAAGAGCTGCGCACACATCCTTTATTTCAAGGCAAGTGTTCAAATAAATTTTGAAGCCAAACACTAAATGCAAAATTCCATGTACACAACATAGAGCTAATGTCACTCTTCTGTACTCTTGTCCAGTGTCAGACACACCAGTCCATCAAAGACTTACTTTTCACCATCAGGTTTGTCAGCCGAGTATTTGCTGTGCTCACAGCATTTTTGACCAAGAAAGCAGGCTTTACCCCAGATAGGGGAAAATGTATTTTCACAAACGCTATCTCAATTTTGATAAGCAAGGCCTTAGCTTTGACTTCTTGTTTGGTTACACTTTCACAAGTTATCTTCCATTCCACCGATCAGGCCGCAGCTCACAGTAAGCTGTACAGCAGGAGACAGCCTTGTGTTTTGTTCTTTTTTTTTTTTTTCTATGAACTCATCAGGGTTCTAAACAGACATTCCATTTTTTTCTCCCATAGCCAAAGGGAGCACACAAAAGGTCTCCTAAATCCACAAAAGCATCGCAGCCAGCAGCCACATCCCCCCGTGTGCTGTCATCATCCTGTCTCTGTTCTTATTTGCTAAGAAATGCAGAGACGGTGTATATTTATCAGAAACCCAATTTATCAGGACTTACCTAGTAGAGTTTTTGGGTTGGTTAACCCTAACTGTACCACTGGATTTTCTAAGATGGCTTGGAAGAGAGGGCTATTGGTGTCGATTCCCTTATCTAGGTCCTCTGGAGAAGGCTTTCTGTCTCCTAGCAGCCATTCACACTGAAAGAAATCACCAAACACAACATATTTCATGGTTGATTCCATTAAAATGAAAGTCTGCCAAAACATTCGGCAATGCAGCATGAGAAAATATTTTGCCTCTCACAGAAGCATTGATTTCTTTTCACTCTAGATCACTATTCATTTGTGTGTTGCTCTGACAGAAATCAGCCTTTTTTTTCCAAGAGGACAGTAGCAGTGCCTGGTATGGTAATAAAATTACACCAGCTTTGTGTGTTTCAAAGCTCAGCAATACGCACGGTGTCGTGCAGATGCACTGCCTCATAGAAACCCCACCAGCATGGTTGCACGAGGTCAGCTGGAAGAACCATCCAGCCCAACATCCCCTCTGATAGTAGCTAGCACTGGATGCTTGCGAAGATTCCTTGACTACCAGCTGCACCCACACCTCTCTGCTTAATATACCCACTAATCAATCTCCGAAAACCTTATTTTTGGATTCCATCAATTCTGGAATGCATCGCTGCCAAACATTAGTTCATACACTGCGTGGCTTGAATCTCTTGCCTGATTAATTCCTGCCCTTTAGTCAGTTATTTATTGGGAATATCTTTTCCTTCCTCACAATAGTATAATCTCTTTTGAAGCCTCAGGTGAAGGAGCTTCTCAAAAACTTCTTGAAAATCCGCATATGCAACACGAACCAGATCAGCCTCAAGCTCATGCATGCTGAGTTCCTCTAAAAAATCTAAAACCTTTGTATTCTCACTTTGTATCTAACTGAAAAAGGCTCAGAATAGTGTTCATTTCATCTCCAGTAGCAGCTGAGCTTTATGATAAACCAAAACATCAATCAATGAGGAAAAAAATCAGTTGAACAGATGATTATGGCCATAAGGAACAGAAATGATGTTGTACTCACGGCTGCATTTTGCTGGTTGTTGTTTACTCTGAGTGCATCCACCACTTCTTTTTCATCAAATCCCATCTCCATCAGGGCAATGACAGCCTGTAAGATTTACACGGCTTCATAAATACATTTAAAACAAATGAAGAAATGAAATATTTAAAACAATCACATTCTCTACCTTCTGTCCACATTTTTTGGGGGGTAAAAAAAAACATTGTTTCCATTTGCAGGCCACTAAGCAATCTTAGCTACAGAGTTTTCAAATACTGTCTATCCAAAGATTTATTCCTTTTCCATAATAAAGACACTAAAGAGTGAGACTGAAGGTAGTTCCTATTGTCATTACTGAAAGCTGAATGCAAGGCAAAGAGCGAGTAGCTGGTGTGGGAAGGAAGAACAGGATGGAAACACCTTATTTTAAAACTCCTCGTGTCACAGTGATTTGGTTCATCTCTCACTGACAAATCAAGCTCCAAGATCTTGTGCATTTGTAGTTCTATTCACTGGATTTAAATTTTACTCCTGGGATTTATTAATATTGCTATTGAGCATTGCATATTTAGATAAACGTACCTACATATTGTTACAAGAACATTTAATCATTTAGAAATTGTACCCAGGTCATCAAATTCCACTTCTGCAGCTTGCAACTAAAATCACAAAAAACATTTACTGTAAAAGCGAAGTGATAGATTCTAAAGAGCACCTCCTGGTGATTTTACAGTGTGATAACAGCACGCATTTTCACTTCAGCTAATATTGTGCTCTGAAAAAAGGCTAACTTCTGCATTCGATGCAAGACTTAAAGACTTAACTGCTGATGATATTTTTCCTTATCCCCTAAATATAACAATGCTCTTCTGTTCTTTTCTACAGCAAAAAGGAAAATACTGTCCTGCAACCCTTCCTTGATGCCAGACAGTGCTTTTTATGACTGTCACATCAGTAGTATCAATTAATTTTCAGGTGTAAAGTGTCAGTAATTTAGATGCTGTTAACCGAGACAACAGCGGTAATATCCCTTTCAGCAACCCGAATTCTAACAGCCCCTGAAAATTTCCACTAAAATACTGTCACGCCAGCATAACGTACATCTGCACTCTTGTCCCATTCCATTTGTTAAATGAGCATTCATTTGGATTCTGTGATGCCCACCCAGTCCCTTTCAATCCTAACAGTTAACAAATAACAAGATAAACAGCGCATACTCGTGGGTCTGGACGAAACTCTCTTTTCCTCCGGATCTTCTTGAATATTTCTGTCAGCTCATCCTTGGCCTCTTCCCCAGCTGCTTCTGAACTAGGACCTGCAGTTGCTTCAGCAGAGGATGCACCAGCTTCGGCTGGGGCTTCGGATGGAGTCTGGCCTGGAAGCGGAGCATCTACTGCAGGGTCATCCGCATGTTCTATCAACCACTCCATGGCCTGCGTCACCGACATACTGGAAAGAAAATTAAGACAAAGGGATGAGGAACACTCCAGATGTATGTTACACATACATTTTCCTTTGCATTTATTCCTGTGGTATCTTGACTTGCTGATTAATTAGCATCTGAATTGTCATAAATACAGTTTTGGAGCAAATCTCAGAGCACCTTAATTCTACATGCACTCAGGGCCCCAGAGTCATCACTCCTCTGTCATCCTGGCTTCAGAGAAGGGCAGCTGCATCCCAGATTTTAGAAGGCATTTCTAAGGCAGTCACCTCATTCTCCAAATCATCTGCTTTGATTCACAACAGACAAACACCGACTATTCGCAACTGCTGACAAAACTGCGAAGCGTGTTCCAAATTTACATGGAACCACATCTCAGACAGAAGCTGCTTTGTTGCTTCCTACAGAGAGACCTCAGACATCTAGCGATAAAGGAATGCCATTAACAAGAGAAGAAAGCAGGACAACATGTGCTCTCGTCCAAGTGCAATTGCCTGCATTGAATTTTGCACAATATACCTCGAACATGTACTACTTGTGTCTTCCTCTACTGACTCAAGAAGGAATCAGATCTCTCAAAGGAGAGGCCACCAGAGCGCCACAATCATAACCCAGTCAACTGCTGGACTGCAAGCGCCCAAGCTAAGGGATCTTGAGAGACCCAGCACATGCCTTCTCAATGAATACACAGGAAGCAAAGATAACGACAGCATACCTGAACGTGCAATTTCATTTGACTGCACAGTAATTACATGTTCTGAGAAAGGGAAGCCTGCTTGGTTTTTCACTTACAAGGTGAAAGACTGAGGACATCAGGGGGAAAGTCCTCCTAAGCCCAAAGGGAGAGAGACTGGAAAAGAATGACTGGAATATTTTGTTGACTCTCTATCGTTAGAAATATTTACGAATGGCCTAAGAAACCCCCTCTCAGAAATGAGGCAGCACAGCTGTTTCATCTTAAGAGCATGAGAAGAACTGTGTTACCTCCTCTTTTCCTACAGTTGCTATCTGGACTTTGTAATATTCTTGGAATGTTTTTAAAAGATCAGCACAAAGTATTTTTGCTACAGCTGAAAGACCAATCTGGATGGGCTAGGCTTGCTTTTTTCCCCTCTAAAATTTTAAAGCAGAAAACGTGACTTTAATACTCAGAAACAGTGCCAGCCTGACAGCCTTGTGAACTGCAGACAAGCTCTTCTTTCTAGAACAAGCACAACACCGTTTCCCCTTTCCTGGGCCATCTGCACCTGCATGTTGCCTGAGACAGAAGTGTTCTTTAAACTAATGCTTTGTTCAAACCTAGTTTTAGGTGACCCACTTAAAGAGGCTTCTGAAAAAAATGCTTTTTTTTTTTTTAAACCGTATTAAGTAATTTACAGGCAGTGTGCTCAGTACACTTACTGATTTAATCGAAGGGCTTTGACAGCTCTGCTCTCTGGAAACCCCATTTCTGTAAGCTGCCGCAGAGCTATCTCATCCACTCTGTCTTCCTCATCCTCATCCAGCATGGCTAGATATACACAAACAAAACAACGTTCAGACTGACTTCGAGCTAAAATACAACCCTTTCGCAGTGGAGTGGCATGTGTTAAGTTCAAATCCCATTCTTCTCTTCCATCCCTGCTTTTGTTTCTGCCCCAAATTTGCTATCTCACCATTTAGTCTGCTGCACTCAGCTCGATCAGGCTCAGATAGATTCTTCCAGGACAAAGACTTCGTCCAGATTTGTTCACGATCTCTAGTAACAGGCAAACTTTTTCTTGACTATAAGCCCAATTTAATAAGCCTAATTTAATATATGGGAGACCCACTGAAGATTTGCTTATCAATCATCGAGGAAGTTGGATCCAGCCCTAGCAAATCTCAAGGGCATTTCCCATGCTGAACCTCCAGCTAGAATTTCTCCCCATTTTCCTATCTCCTTGTGCATTTTCCACTATTCTTTACCAAGTCTTGTGACGTTTTCCAAATGTTTCATTGCTACTGATTTTAGTTTTAAATGGAACTTCTCATCTATCCCAAAGGGACCTTATAAATTCCTTTGTTTTTTAAAAACTCGTACCACAAGTTGAGATCTTTGCCACAAAGTTATTATTAGCTCTATTACATTAATGTCTGGAATTAACTCTGCAAGGCTACACTTTTGCTACATAAGAAAACAAGTTCCTAGGATTGAACTAATAACTATAAAGATATGTTCATACCATTTGCCTTCTTAAATAGTTCAACCGCATCAGGATTCAGTGCTAGCAATTTCTGTGCAACTTCAATGAGAGAAACTAAGATCTTCCGGAGCTCTGTCTGGAACTGCAAGAAAAGAAGCTGTGAAAACACTCGGACAGGAAAAAAACAGGCACCATTAAGTGTTAGTATGGCTGTTGTTAGTATCTCTGCTACAGTCTGACCCCTTGTACAGGTGCTGTTCACTACATCATGCACCTACTAGTACAGAAAGACACAGCTAGAAGTACTACAGACAGTACTCAACTACTGAAGTCAACAATTATGAGTCTTTTCAAAACCATGGAAGAGGAAAAACATTGCAAACACCCCAACTATGTAAGACTGAAACCTAACTGCACATCTGCCAGATCTCGAAAAGTATTTACTGAGGCTTTCCCACGGACAAATAAAACATTTAAAAGCATAACTCAGAACAGAGTGGCTTTTAATCACTAAATGACTTAAGATTTACACACCGGTTGTACTATCTACTTTAATATACATTTATACACACCTGAATTTCTCTTACAGAGAAAGGCTAATCACAGTCGTATGGAACAGAAGAGGTTATACGAGATAAAAGCCTACTTGGATATTAGCGTAGGAGTTAAAAGGTCTGATACTTACATCCCTCATGTTGTGATGGGCCACAGTGCGATCTACATTGCGAGAGGGCAGATTTGCAGTTGCTTTGAGAATAGCATCCTTATCAGGAGCTTTCTGCTCTTGTTTCCTCTGAAGGATGGGAAACAGGATCAGGTTTCATAACCCATTATCCACAGAACAAAGAACATAGCATAGCTGAGAGCAGTTTCGTATTCTTCACCAAGGCATCAAGCAGTGCTCTGTAACTTGCAACTAAGAGAAACAGCAGCCTAGCAATACAACGGATTAATAGCGCTCACATTTTGCGATTATAGAGCAGAACCGGACCTGTTGGGTTGCCCCACTTTCAGTCCTTTCTTTAAATCTATTTCTGCTATCTAAACAAGTGGGGAAATTCCAGCACAAAGAGGGAAAGTGATGCACCAAACAGGGAGAGAACCTGGAAGCCTCAGTTCCCAGGACCATACTCTGCTCCGCATGGTCTGCTCAGAGCACACTCTCTCCAAACCCATGTTTTTTTGGGAGATGTACCAACACTGTGCACAGACTAACACTTAACTGCCTCACAGGGGAAGTGCTTTACTGCTTGCAAGTATCATGCAGAGATATGTGGTGCCTTGGATTTTCAGTACATGCTTATAGACCAGGAGAAAACGTAGCAGGGTACAAACTATAAATATTTCCCAGTCTTGTATCTTAGGTTCTTACGGTGACGTTCTGCACAGCAAGACCGTAATGGAGACAGAGACATACACCAATACCTACAGGAAGGGATACAGAGACAAACACCAATACCTACAGAAAGCAAGAAAAAACAAAGCTTTGCAAGGAGGGGGTGGAGAGACCTGGATATTCACAGTGTCAAGCACAAGCATTGCTCGAGTGTTTATGCACTAATGTCAACTGCAGCGCCACTCACGGCTAAGTGTCACCCTGGGTACCACTGACCCTCAGTAACAATTACGTTGGGGGAAGAAAACAGAACAAGAGTAGCAGGGGGGCAACGCTTCAGCTCTAGAGACCTGGTTAGAGGGCGATAAGCCACTCGTTGCTAAAGACATACGACAGCCTGAAAGCCAATCAATAGATTTCTGTGGAGTTCTCAAAAGAGAAAAGGCAGTTGCTGAAGTATGCTTATACAATTACCAGGCATTTTTTTCCAAAGATAAGTCTATCCCACTTCCACAGAATGCACCTGCACGTCTTATTCTAAGGCAAATGTTCTCATAATCCAAGTTAAAAATGTAAAGTCAGTTTCCCCAAGGTTTGGGAGAAAGACGAAATAATTTCCCTAGAGTTTAACTGGCTGTATTTGCCTCTACAAACAAAAAGAGTAGACCACAACAATCTTTCTGCAGCTCATTAATAAAGTAGCTAATCAAAATGGCCAAATCAAGAAATCATTTCAAACTCACTTTCTCCTCTGCTGACACATCTGCCATTTTGGGGAGCGGAGGTGGTGCACGCTTCTTGATTAAGAGCAAGACATCTAGAAAGAGAACGATACCGAAATACATTAGAAAGTAATGTGAACACAGTTCAGGTACAATACCTCACAAATTCAAGTTTTCCTAGAGATTAATTCTGCATTAATTCCACTGTAGCATCACAACTTTTTCTGACTTAAGAACTGTAGGGCTTTACACATTCCCCTTAGGTGTTTGCTATTCCATAGCGTGTGCTGAATTCAAAACATGCTCCATCATTAGTTACACTTTGTTACTGGCTTCTCCTCCTCACACAATCCCCTTAAAGAAAGGGTATGAAAAGCTCCAGGTGCTTTGTATGATTACGTTAATAGCACAGTAATTAGCCCATCATAATAACAGCGCATCAGCTCTCCACTGAGGAGGAAACAGCAGAGATGTGCCACATTATGGTTTTTGATCCAACCTAGGGCCTTCCTTCAACTGGAGAGAGTCAAGTGCCAAGCTTGGAAGACAATTTCAGTATCAGGCTGAAGCTCACCTCTGTTTGTGAACTGCAGCAGAGCGATTTGCTGCCTACCACAGGGCTGCATCACTGAGCCAAGCGGGGCAAGCCTCAAGGGCAAAAAGTCTTCAGTCTCAGCTAACCCACAGCACGTAGCATGAGCTTGCTTAAGGCTTTTGGACTAATGCTTTCTCTTTTCAAGGCACCATTTTTCTAGAAAGCATACGATGGTTTAGAAGTTTCTAGCACCTGAGTTATTACCCCATACATAAGGACACAGACACCGCTCAGAGCAGGCCTGCACGGCATCTGCAGTCCTTCAGCCAGACAGGGCAGTTTTCCGTCCATCGCATTAAGCAGGTAAAAAGCCAACAAATCATGCTTTGTGCACCCAGTTTCCTAGGTCTGGCTCAGCACAGAACAGCCAGGAGCAACAGCTGGTGAGGGCTGTTAACCCTCACTCACCCAGCTGACAAGAACACGAAAGGATCCACGTGCTGCCTTCTGGCTGCCCTGTGCAGCAGCACGCGGAGCCAGCAGCAGTCAGCTGTCGGCTGCGATCTCGCCTCCCTGACAGCAGCAGGGCACTTAAAAGGCAGAGCACACTGCAGGGGAAGCAGGAACAGAGAGGCATTCGCATGACAGCTCAGTGCTGCTTAGCTGCCGTATGCTGCAATTCAAGGCTCTGGAGGAGCCTAGAAATAACCCCCCGCCGACCAGCAGCAAAGCTGCCCCTCGCCTCTGCCTAGGATGGCAGCTCCCAGCTCCTGTTCAGCTCTGGAGGTGATCGGTGAGGCTGCCTCGGAAGAGAAAAAGACCAAATTGCTGCTTGTGATCATAGGAACAGCTCTCCAGCCTGCATGAACTCTGGAAAAATCAAAACACTACTGCTGTGAGCTCCTGGCTCAGACAACATTCCATTTTACAGCAGTCCTGCTTCTCACACCTCCTGGACCACAGCCTGTCGTCTCCAGAAGGAACCAGGAGCTTAAGCTGCCCAGTAAAAACTGACCCCAGCAATCCCGACAGCTCTTACCTTTAGATCTTTTGTCTCACATTAATCCTCTACCCCTTTAAAGTTCAGGAGCAAATACACACCTCACGTACACTGCTGTGGTCAGTGACACTGCAGCGTGAGGAATTCTGACCCACACGTGCAGAGGATTGAAGAAGATACAAAATGTGGATGCTCAGATACGCTTCAGCAAACATCCTTCTGCTTGACCTGGAGACCTCAAGAAAATCCCTGAGAAGTTTTGGGTTGTTTTGTAACTCTAAAGGAACAGTTAAGGAAGGCAAGCTGCTCATTGTATATTATCGAGGGAAGGTATTTTTTCCCCTCTTCTTTTTCTGCCACCTAATTAGGTTCCTATGCTGAAGCAGAGTGTAGATATTAAAAAGAAAATTGGAACTCAAAAAGTTAAACAGTTTTCCATGTCAAAAAAGACAATCTTACCTCTATCTTGAATGTTTTCCTCCAACACTGTTTTTGTGTCTGTCAGCACCTTCTCAGAAGTCGCGTGTATCAACTTGTGATGTGTCACAGTTTTGGGATCCTCCAAGCTGCCAGGTACACACTGCAGAAGATAAATACTGAAGATCAGAGACAGAAATGAGCCTACTACATGAATCATGGCGCTTTGCACTTAGGATTCTGCGCATACAAACGGTGCCATCACTTACAAGCTTCTTAATGGCTTAAGAAATGGCACGCTATGCCAGAGGCCAGCGCACAGGACGCGTGTTATTAAAGAAACCGAGGCTGGAATCGTGCTGTAACGATGCTCTGTGGTCGGTTCCTGCCTGCATATCCAAGCTGCTGGCTGGGATGAATAATCAGCAAAAGGAAGGATTCCAGCCTGCCTTCCTCCACGCTGTTAATATCTGCTGTTAAGTTCAACAGATGGTGATACTCCAGAAAACTTCCTTACAACAGTCAAAGACTCAATGTTACACCCACGTCACCCCAAACAAGCCCTTCAGGGGCACCGAGCCCATCTATACAGGTGGATTTATACTTTTTCAGCACAGTAATCTGCACCACGCTTAATTTTGAGTGCCTGGTCCTATCCTCAGGCCCATGCAGACTCAGAACATGGATACCCCAGGACCCACAGCCCCGTCAGCTCTTCACCAGATTGCCAGGGTTGTGCCAAGTCTGGGGGTAGCAGCGAGCACAACAGCAGAGTGGAAACCTGTGAGCATCCTGTGCTTCACAGAAGGGGAAGCTGTAATAGCACAGCAGGTTTCTCATTTGTAACTGGTGTTGAAAGAGAAGCGAGCCTCTGCTTCATCTTCTAATTACTATTTACAGGCACTGTCGGAGCACACAAGCCACTGCCAGCAGTGAATTTGGTACACTTGACCTTAAGCTGGGAAGGAGGCAGCGGCTGTGCCCTGTTTCAGGGTGCAGAACAAAATCCACAGACTGGGCTGCTGGAGCCCTAACCCAGCTTCTTGCTGGAAGTGCTGAACCAAAGTTCCATTCACAACTTCTCTCCCAACCATAAATTATCAACACGTGCTAATTTTTTTTTTCCATATATGAACATTTTGTTCAATATTTTGTTACAATTCTAAACCACGTTAATTAATCCACTACAAAAATCAAGCTCAAACCCCAAAAGCTTACAACATCAGTATTGTCAGAGGTTTGTTCAGTGACTGCACCAGGCATATCCACACACACAGGCACAAACAACGCCCTGCTTCTTCCTTGGCACAAAGATTCAAGTACACAGAACTGCTCCTCGGTACCAAATCCACCTTCTGTCCACAGCTCTGAAGTTCTGCTGGCACTGCTGGACCTACAACCCATCCCAGCAGCAAGGCAAAGGACCACCTGGGCTTCTGAGACAGCTCCAAGCTGAAATGCCACGCTCCTTACCTAATTAAGCATCAGCCTCCCAGTGCCCGTGCCCCCGCAGAGCCTTGCAAAGTTTGGGTTAGCGTTTAAACTCCCTGGCATTTTGGTGCTGCAGCAGGAAACGAAGCAGGGAGCGCGCACAGACCTCGAACTGACTCATCTTCACACACGAGTGGCTCACGGATCCGCAGCGAGAGCCTTCAAGAACATCACGTCAGCGCATCGAGAGACTTCCAATTTGTTCGAGGGGAAAAAGCGAGCGTAAGGGCTGCGATTCCAGAAAGGCAGAATTAGAAATAACCACCTCCCAGCCCATGAAACTGAGGCTGTTCTCATCACAGAACAGGCTGCTTAATGCTGACCTTCACCTCTTCTTTCTCATGGGAAACAGCTCTCAGCGACTCTTCTTTCCAAGCCCATTGCTATGGAGCCACTTCTGCCCTGCGTGCGCCCCTCAGGTGACGGAGCCGTTCCAGAAACCCCGCTGAGATCAGCGCTTCGCTTCAAACGTGGCACTGAGTCCTGGTAACCACACCGTGTGCTGCCAGCCTCCTTTCAAAGGAAGCTTTAGAGGCCATCATCGCTTCTTCTGGTGTGCCTGTAGCTGCTGGAGAACTCAGGTTCTTGTTCTTTTTCCAAAGATAACACACTTGTTTTCAGCGTGGCTCTTCAGTTCCTCGTCTGAACTTTGGTACAGTTCTGATGCCTCAGCAGGATGGAGGTGAGGGCGTTCGAGCCCTGCTTTGTCTAACAGGAGCTTCTTACTAATCCCTTAGCATATTAACTGCTGAACGCACGCCAGAGAATGCATTAAGGCTTAGAAGGGACTGGGAGCAGCTCCCGAGATTGATCTGAGAAGTTACCCAAAAGGCGTAAAAGCACGCCAGTGGAGCATCTCTCTGAACAAACTCAAAAATAGCATTTTTACACATTCTTAGGGTCGGACACTAGAAGGAAGAGCTTGAAAAGGGGAGCTGGGAGGCACCCTGATGGGGGCAGGAGGACACGACACGTACCTGCTCTTTATTTTCTCCCTGGCACACAAAGCTGTGCACGCAATCATGGTATTTACTAACAACATTAAAGCACACATGAAAAACCGGAGGTTGCAGGTAATCGCTCAGTCACCTAACACCCCAGGAGTTCATAAGGAATCCCCCAGGGCTCACCCCGCGGGCGCTGCTCCACCAGCAGAGGTGAGCGTGCTCTGGAAGGTGAGCTCTCCTGCTCCTTTTTGTACAAAAGGAGTTTTAAGGATGGGATCTGCTGCTTCATGGTTTTGCTTCCAGCAGAAATATTTGCATTTCCTTTTAGCGCTGGAATTTACAGCAGGCTGCGGTGCCAGGCAGGTGAGAAACCTTTGGTTGCAGATGCCTGAGCAATGGCTGAGCTTGCACGCCCTGGTGCTGCTAAGTGCTGTCTGCAGAGCTTGGAATCCTGCTAAGCCACAAGGCTTTCTCTTTGCTTATTTTTATTAGTTTTTTTTTGCTTTTATTAGCAGAAACATTCAAAAATAGAACTGCCCCTCCCTACTACTAAGCTTGGGTGGCTTAAACCATCCGCATCCCTCAAAACACACAGAGGAGGCCCCGAGGAAACAAAACCCACTGTGTCTTCGCACTCTGAGCATTAGCACCTCGCACCTCAGTTCCACAGAGACCCCTCAGCACACCCCGAAAGCCAGGTGAGCAGCGCTGAGGCAGCTTCAGAAGGGGAGCAGAAGCACAGGAGCATCGGAAGCTCACCCCACGATGCCACAAGAATTACAGGTGGGGCTTATGCATACAGACAGCTCGCATCCATGCGCTCAGGTGCACTCTAGAAGGAAGCTGCAGAGCGTGGGGCCTGATCCTGCCTGCTGCACCGCACAGAGCTCGCGCTGAGAAACATCACTGCTCCAAGAAACGAGTCCAAAAAATAGCTAGGAAGGGAAGCAATGAGCTGTCAGGTGTTTATTTATTCACAGCCTAGGCAGTAGCACTGAAGGCAGCAGTTTAATGGCACGGAATTGCCATTACATTGTTACAGGTCAACAGATAGAGCAAGAACCCTCCCCCTGTCTTTTTATCTGTAGCAAAAATACCCCTCAAATTCAGCAAAATATACATCAACAGTGACACTTCAGAGCTCGGTAAGCATTCGAACGCTGGCAGGACAGAGCGTCCACCTCCCTAATTGAGAAGTGGGCACCTTGATGGATATTGCCTTCCTCTGCCTCCTGCAGGGAGGCTTTCAAGGACTTTGGAGAATATATTAATCAGCATCTTGTGAGAGATGGCTGCATAAATTATCTCAAGGTGCTATCAAGATTCACTGCAACACGCCCGTGATCAGGAGACATGATTCTTCCATTTCTATTTTTCCCCTTCATAAAACTCCATATTACCCATAATGGTTATGCAAATCCATACCATTAGCACGGAGCAGCTGAGAAAACGAAATCAAACATCTTGCCAAGTTATCAATTGTCTTCTGCCCTGACTTGCACTGCAGTGCAAGCATCTATTCAGTTATGTTTCCTGATAATTAAAGGCCTTTCAGCTCTGCACACATGCACGTAATCATTACCCCACCCTATTTTGGCAGCCTTTGTTTAATCCCTCAGCTGCACCGAAGGGGGGACAAGACAGGAGCAGGAGACTTCTTCCAGGAAGGTAACAGCGGGGGGAGCCCCGCGCTCAGCTCAGTTCTTTTCAGCAGGGTGCCCTCATTTTGCCTCGAGGAGGATCCCACCTACCTCAACCCAAGCAAATCCATTTGCAGCTGCTCTCCTCTCCAAATCAAAAAGCACTTAAAAAGGCTCAGGCTCCAGCAAAATAAAACCTACCGTGATCCCGGGGTGGTAGCTGAAAGCAAACAGCCAGAGGGCACGACGCAGAGGGCACCTGGGCTGCTGGCCACCTGCACTTCCCAGCACGCTCCTTCCAAAAATAAAGCCTGCCAGCCTCCAAACAGCTAAGTCACTACACATTACGGGCACGTCCTCGTATCGTAGCGTTGTTTTACTACAAAGAATATTTCTCCTAGTCTTTGTAACGGTTTGAAGACGAAAAATCACTGCTGAATGCAACTGATAAAACCCTGCTCCCAGGGCCTGGATCTGCTTTTAGAAACGAGAAGCCAAGGGGCTTGGAAAGGAGTCCTGAGGTCAGGCCCGGTCACGGGTCCAGCTTCATGTGCTTATTTTTGCTTTAAACTCCAAGTCATGGCAGATCTTTGAAATCCAGCCTAGCAGTCCTGCAACCTCTGGCTTTAACATTTAGCGCCCACGAGCAGGAGCGGGAGTTGAGCAAGCGAGCACAAAGAGCCTGTGTCTTCCAGCTCAACTTTCACAGGCCGTATCCGTGTGTTTTGATGCATTTTCTTCTCCAGCCAGCGACTGGTAATTCACCCTTTGGACACTTCCATTAAGCCTTGCTGCTTAGAGCACAGGGAGAGCATTAGAGGAGCCCGTTACCTCCCTGCAGAGAACCCCAGCAGCTACTGTGCCAACCCAGGGGCAGGCTGAGCTAAGTGTCTTGTCAGAAAAGGGAAGTTGCCACCGCCGTTATTATTTTCATTGCTTGTTAAATACGAAGAAGGAACAAAGAAGAGGGCTCAGAGGGGAAGCCCTCAGAAGCCAGACACACCAGTGCCTTACAGCGTGCGCTCAGCACACGGAGAGGAGCTGCAGGTTGGAAACTGCAGGTGGGGAAGGGCTCCCCCACACCAAGCCGTCCCCTGGCACTGCACAGAGCCCTCAGACCGGCGATTTATCTCTGCAGGGACCTTCCTCACAACTCAGGGCGTGGGGGCTGAGATGGTGAAAGGAATACACCCCCCTCAAACCAAGCTGCCCTCTGTCATCGCACAGAGCTCTCAGAACGGGTTATTTTGGGTTATTTCTTTTTTTAAGGCCATTTCTCACAATTCAGGGGGTGAGAAAGCTGCCAGGGATAGCCCCAAAGGACACCGGGCAGGCAAAACCCCCGGCCTAGCCCAGCTCTGCGTCCCTTTAAAGCCCCTCAGAGGGCACCAGAGGAACCCATCCCCTCTCCCAACCGCCCCCTAAATCCCCCTCACCCCCCTCGGGCCGGCTCCTTACGTGCTTGAGGCAGCGCTCCTTCAGCTTCTCCACCGTGGTGTCCTCGGGGACCTCCTCCAGCCACTCGGCGCCCTCCATGGTGCAGACGCGGAGCCTCAGCACCTTGCCGGCGAAGATCTTCTCCTCCTGCACGAACATGGCGCCGGGCGGCCCATGCAGGGCCCGGGGACGGCTCCGAGGCCCCGCTCGGCCCGGCCGACCCGGCCCTGAGGGGAGCGAGGGGACGGGGGGGGGGGGGGGAGCGGGGACGGCGGGGCCGCGACTGAGGCGGCGGGAGGAGGAAGCGGAAGGAGAAAGGGGGGGAGGCGGCGCGGGGCGTGCTGGGAGTTGTAGTTTTTTTGGTTTATTTGGTTTATTTATTTATTACTTTTTCCTGATGAACTCGGAGCCGCCAGGGGGTGTCTCTGCCGTTTCGCTGCGGTTTTTAAAAATGAAAATAACAGCGTCTCGGCGTTATTTTCCACACACCACGAAGCGCTCTGGGAAGTGTAGGCCTCTCCCCCCCGCTGCCGCGGTGCACGCTGGGAATTGTAGTCCGGCCGCTGTGGCGCCCCCCCGCGGCCTACAGTTTTTGATTATTCCTTTAATTTTAAGTTATTTTTATTCCTTTAATTTTAAGTTATTTTTACTCCTTTTAAACACTCTGCTAAAAGGAGCTGGGAGCAGACACGGCTCCCCGGCTGCAGCTGTGGTTTATTTGTGTGTCACACAATCATTAACGTTAAAAAAACCCCTCCAGGGTCCGCTGCCCCCAACGTCCCCCTCACCAGTGCCACCACCGACCCTGTCCCCAAGCACCGCGACCAACCTGTCCCCAAACACCCCAGGGACGGTGACACCACCCTGTGAATGTACACACTGAGCTGGATGGGGCTGTGCTGGGGGCACGCCGCTCGGGCTGGAGCCGGCTGAGGGGCAGCGAGAGCCCAGTGGGGGAAATAAACACAGGCACTAAGTGAATTGGGGCAATAATGGGGCTGGGGGAGAGGATCAGGGACAATAATGGGGCTAGGGGAGAGAATCAAGGGTAGTAGAGGCGCTAGGTGATAGAATCAGGGGCAATAACAGGGCTAGGCAAGAGGATCAGGGGCAATAATGGGGCTAGGGGAGAGAATCAGGGGCAATAACAGGGGTAGGCGAGAGAATGAGGGGCAATAATGGGGTTAGGGGAGAGGATCAGGGGCAATAATGGGGCTAGGCAAGAAGATCGGGGACAGTAACAGGGCTAGGCAACAGAATCAGGGGCAATAACGGGTCTAGGCAAAAGCCACAGTTAACCATTGTGGTGCCACCAACAGTGAGGGCTCCCGGCCACTCTGAGGTGATTTCTGTGATTCTGTGATTCTGAGATGGGCTCCGAGAGACCACAACAGGGAGAAAAATCCCTGAATGGCTCCGCTTGGGGTGAACGGTGTCGTTTGTTCGCTGGAATTTGCACTGCTTCACCGGCGGAGCTGGGAGTCGGGGTGCCGATTTGGGAAGGTGACACGGTGACAGCCGCACGGCTGCCCCTGTGGCTCGCCAGTCATCCCGTGGTTTGGTCAGGAGGTGCTTCGAAATGGCAAAGAAGCAGCCGGTGAGTTCCAGGCAGGCCAAATTCAGCTGTGAGCTCGTCGTGCAGGGAGGAGGCATGGATGTTACACGGCCATCAGGGGGGCTCTTAGCCCTCCTTACTGCAAGTCGAAGCAATATTCGGAGATGAAGCTGGAGCTGCAGCAGAAAAGAAAAAAAAAGAAAAAAGAAAAAGAAAAAGATTTCTGCTGGCCAGCCATATCTTGCATCAAAACAGTACTTGCCTAACACAAGTGGAATACTTTATTTTCTTGCTTTGAATGCAGCTCCTGTGTGCTTGATAAAATGTAGCCATAAAATTGCAAATACAAAGCAATTTGACTACTGATGGCTAATGCATCATAATGGCTGAGGAAATGCGAGCATTTAAAAATATCCCATTTAAACGTGGGGCAATACCTCCTTTACTTGCACCGTAGCAGAATAAATAAACAATATATGTTTATTATGTTAATATTGTCCAGAGCCAAAAGAATGAGTGCACAATGTGTTGCTTGCCTCCTGTGACTGATACATTATGCCCAGAGACGAGCGCGTGAATGCGAAAAGGTGGAAATCAACATCTCTTTTCCTTTGAGAAATGGCTTCTTTTGTTTTATGTCTCCGGATGAATTATTTTATGTGATTGCAGCTAGCAGCAGGAATCTCCTGCAGTACTTAGGGCAATACCAGCCCCACGAAGACAGCGGCAAAACTCCCACGGATTCGGTGATTGCAGGTGTTTGCTGAGGGTTCCTGCATTACCGCAGGGAAAGTGACCCAGGCTAGGAGGGGACAGAGCCCACCACAGCCAAAAAAAAGCCCCACAGAGCCCGGGTCTGGCTGGGCTGCAGCTGGGGAGCAGCCTAACGCCAGTGCCAGCTCCTGCAGGAACCAAAGGGGAGGGTGGTGGAGCTGGCGACACTGCTAAAGGTTCTCCTTTGGTGCAAATCAGAGCAGTTTGGGGGCTGCTGCCATGCCTGAAAATGGTCCTCTGGAGGGGTGACATGTCCGAGGACTCCTCCGCATGCACTGGGCTTAGCCCTGGGCTGATTTCTGCTGGAGTGCCCCCAAGGAGCTGATTTCAGACCCCCAGTGCTGGAAGAGCAGGGAAGTCTCCACCAGGGACCTTCCAGCAAGCCCGTAATCTCTTCTAAATTGTCTGAGAGTGGGAGGAATAAACGAGAGTGAAAATCACCACCATCCCCCCCGCCCCCCTGCAGCATTTCTGGGCACTCTCCGAATTTATTGAGACAAGTCCTGTGGGATGCTCCATCATGTCATCCAAGACTCCGTATTGACTCTCTTTTCCTGCTGCTGCTGAGTGAAGAAATATGATAGCGGGAGGGATAATGAAGCAGACATGTTTTCTTCAAATCAAACCGATTTTCTCCTAAGATGGGATAAAAGGGTAAAGAACTTTCCCTTCGCAATATTTTTCCCGGTAATGTGTTTTGACAATTTAATTTAGAAGTCATAGAGTAGCAAAGACAAAGTCACCCGGTGGGTGGACATCGGAGAGTTCGGTTGCCTTTGTGATGAATTGGTGATAGTACAGAGATGACAAAACAACACAGGGGGACAAGAAGGAGGCTGGCAGCACTGTCGGTAACATGCACAGGATAAATTGAACACTACACTTCATCCAGGATCTTCAATAGTCCCAGGCGTCCCAATATAATTTATGAATTGCAATTAGCATTTTGTTAGGCCTGTGTTTGAGCTACACACCTAGCACGGCTTGGGCTCGGGTCTGCCAAAAGTTAAGTTAAGTTTTTGTAAGTTTAAAGTAGCTCTTTATGTAAATTAATGCAATAAATGTGCTTGAGTTGTTGCTTTCCTATTCCTAGCCTGCAGAGGATAAGAGGATAAGTTCCTTGTGGGGCTCCCATGGGCTCAGAGGAGCACTGGCTCCCATGGCTCTTCCTTGCCTCGGCTCCAGCCACGTGCCCAAATCTGCTGGCCACGGGCAGCCTGCTCGGGGAAAGCTGTGGGACCCAGACCAGGAATGCCAGGAAGCAGCCGTGGGAAGCAGCGGGATCTGTCTCCAGATCAGGATCTGCATCACGGGCCCCCCGTCCTGCTGCGTGGGTCCTGAGCCCCGTCCTGGTGCCTCAAAGCCGATGGGTCCTGGGTTTCTCCTTCCCTGAGACACAGAAACTTCTGCCTCCTGCCCCTTGGCAACTCCCCTGGGGCAGAGAGAGGAGCAAGAGCTCCTCCAGGGTGCCCCCAGGGCTGCCCCACGGCACCAGCCCTGCTCCCCCTCCTGCGCCCCATCGCGCTCCCCCTCATGGAGCCACATCCCCGTGTGCAATTCAGCTCCTGAATCACTCCGAGAGGCCCCTGACTGTGCTCCGAACGACTCGGCAGGCTGTTATAAATATACAAAGCTTTTTTTTTGTGGGGATATTCATGAAATTCTATCACCACTTACCCTGGCTGGTAATGGCCTTGTTTATGTATGGTCTCCATACCTGGCTTTGCAGCCTCTCCAAACACAATTCCATTACGGCGTGTAACTGCTCCATCAGCGCCGTGCTTAGCGCTCGCTGCTCCCCGGCACCGCTCCTTAATGGCCAGGGAAGGTATTAAGGCACTGCTGCTCGAGAGTGCTCAGAGGAAAGTTCAAATCTCACCAAGTCTTTATTTTAAAATTCATGGAATTTATAAGCACCAACTTTTAAGCCGTGACCAAACAGCCATTTCTGCCTTAAACAACCTTTTCTTTCCCTCTGCTTCCCCCCACCAGTTACCTGGGGCTTCCCCTCCCAGCCCATCGCGAGCCTCTCCCGGTTTCCTCGCAGGCTTTGGCAGAATGTCACAATTTAATTGTTGGAAACAAGAGCAGGAAATATTAGCAGCACCAGCACAATAGGATTTTAATTTAGCTTCAGGATAGAAATGGGTCTCTAGCAGAGTGCCAGGCTCCGGGATTGCCTTCAAGTGCGAGGAGCCTGGAGTTTGGCTAATAGTTTGCTCAACTGGGGTAATTCTGTAGGGATGCGAGGGACTTAATTGGGCTCGTGCTTAAACACCCTCGTAATGCGAGGCACACTGCATGCTCCGAGCATTATTATTAAACAGCCCATTTCCCTTTTTAATGATCATCTTGGTTCACCGTAACAGTGATCATCAAATAATCCCGGACAAATAAACATCTGTCTCTGGCATCTGCACGGTGGGGCTGCCACTGGGCATGGGAACGGCCGTGTCCCAGCCCCACAGTGTCCCCACAGCAGCCCCACAAACCCAGAACCCTTCATGGGGCCAGGATGCTCGAGGACCACGGTTTGTCCCCGTCCCCATTGTCCCCTTGGGTTGTCACCCCAGCCCCAAACACCGCCGGGCTGCACGGGAAGGCGTCGCCACCCGCCTTGACGTGGAGGTAAAATATGGGGCAGCGCTGAATTATTCAGCTGGCGAGAGGGGCTCTCAGGATGGTGCGTTGCTCTTCTGCAGTGTAATTAATAGTCTTTAGATTAAATATGAAATCATTCCTCGTCATTAATAATTTAGCCGCAGCGTGGCGATCTTTAGAGAGCGGCGCACTTCATATTCTTCTCAAGTACGTTGCCTGAAACGCTTTGGGGGAAGCCGGACGCCCTTTCATCCATCTCAATTACAGCCTCTGGCTGCTCGTTTCCGTCTCGAGCATTGTTGTGCAAAGGTGCAAAACTCTTCCGCTTCCTCCTGCCCGTC